AATAATGAAATCAAATTTATCAAAGTAGATTTAAGGACATGTATTATTCGGTATAAATGCACTTTGATCTTAATAAGTACTTTCCTTCACTTCTAGTGTTGAGTAATTGCTTAGTAGTCACAAATGGTTAACAATTATACACTAAATCAATGATTAGTTTCATAAAATCGAGTATAGAACCAACTTCCAATTATAATTATCTTATTTAAACTATTGCGAAAACTAAAAAGTAATAAGGAAGCTAAAGGATTAAGTGGAAAAAACTGAAAACTTAGCATTCAATACCTAGTTACTCAACCGAATCAAGCGATTCCAAGGCATGAACTTGACCGAGTCACCCTCATCACAACACATTGTGTCACACCCCAAAACCATGAATGGCGGAAAAATTCTGGGGCGGAGGATGTCATGTACAGTATCACAACAATAAAAAGTAGTAAACAAGCAACAACAACATCCATTGCATTAATAATATAATTTCATATATGTGTATTCTGTCAAAGTTATAGACACCAAAAATATACATATCAAAATAAAAGATGAGTCTTGAACGAACTCAATCTTCTCAAAAGCCTGGCACCTGTACCTGTCTAGTGGTGACCCGAGAATACAAGTTATTTTGAAAGCGAGTATCAGCTTAATGTTGGTTAGATCATAAGTATATTAATGTCTGAGTTTGTATGAAAACGTTTGAAAGTTGTTTCTATAAGATGTTTTGTACAATGTTTTGTATAATGTTTGAACTCTCCTAGAAAACCCTATGTTTCCTACTAACTGTAGCCTTCTACTAAGGCATCTCGTGTCCGTAAGTATGTCTCTTGTTAGAGTGTGTGTTTTCCAATTCTGACTATCATTAACCAAAAATATAGTTACTACATTACCGTGCATCATGTGAATATTCACGAAGTGAATGTAATGGGAAAATATTATCGTACCGTAGTATTTGTAATAAGTGACTACCGTGGTACTAACTACCTTAACACAAAAAGGTGTTCCAAATAACATGTGATCGACCTGTATCCTGTTACCGACTCTAGTAAAACGATGATGTAAGACGCTGTAAGAAATGAAATTTGGCACCCGTAGACTTGCAAGTCCCACTGTAGCGAGCAGCAATATGTAGGATAGTCAATCCAGTATAGATCTATACGCAAACTCATACGCTCTCCAGTTAAGGAGATTCAGGATACAAGAGCGGTTGTGGCAGGAAGTGCCATGACCCGCTCAATGGTTCACATAACTGCATAAATGTATATGTAATGAATGTGCTAACTGAAAGTGTAATCTTTCTCTGTCTAGCCTGTGTGTACTGAAATGTTCTGCGTGTGCTAGCTGTAATGTATGTTCTCTCTATCTAGCATGTATAGTAATGTATTGTGTGTACTAGTTGTAATGTATGTTATCTCTTTATCTAGCATGTATAGTAATGTACTGTGAGTACTACTCGAACTGACTCATGAATGAACTGAATCATTGTATGTTTCATTGTTCTAGTTATAGTATTAGTATCCTCCTGTGCTACCCCTATGGTAACTTACTAGTGATGTAACTGGTACGTATGAACATGGAAGTATACCCTAGCTACCCAAGGGTACTGAATGAACTGGAAGGACCTTTATGACTATATATGTACACATGATATATAATTAATATTTAAATGACCTTCGGATGGATACCCGATATCCCACCAGACCACATCTCAAGCGCAAAAAGGAAATAGGGCGGGCAGGCCTTCCTAAGCCTTTTAAACATTTCTTATATAACTATACATACATAGACATGCAATTGATAATAAGTATAAAAGAGTTTAAGTAAAAGTATTTGATAAGTAAAAGAGTTTGTAAAACAGTTTGAAACAATACAGTTTGATAAACAGTTTGAACAGTAAGAAAATCACTGGTTTTGTAGTTATTAATCACATGTGATTGATGTAATAACTATAAGTATTCAACTTGTATCCCCCCCCCCATAAAGCATTTAAAAACATTTAAATCATTGGTTAAGGGGTATGAACTCACCTGTAGTTAGTGGTACGGATGAACTGAAGATGTAGGATCGCTAGGTGACAAGTAAAGTCTTGAACACACTTTATAACCCTAGTTAACATATAATACCACATATATGTATCCAATTAGTCTTAAACTACTAATTGATAATGTTAAGACATCCTAGAACATAATAAACACTTTATATAAGTGTTATAAGCCCTAAGGATTGCATCTAAGTTGTTGTGGGACAAGGCTAGTGAGTTTAGGGTTCCAAGGGACCTCATACTTGAGTTTACTCTCCAATAAACCCCACACAAGGAGTTTATGGTCGTAAAACCTTGAGTTTATGGCTGTGAACTCCTAAGTATAATGTCATTAGGTGTTTTGAAGTGTTACATGATCCCTAGAAGCAATTCTACTTGGTGGTTTAATCCTTAGAAGGGTTTAGGGAATCAAGACACTCTTTTTAGGAGTTTTCGGCCCCAAGGACATTTCCTTTTGAGTTTACTACTGTAAACTCATATGGAAATGGATATTTTTATGCTTTCAAGTCCCAATCACATGTAGGATAGGTTCTATACATTTATCTAAGGCTAATGAAGGCCTTAGGCACACATTGGTGCCCTTCCTTCATGTTCACGGCCCAAGGACCTTTTCCCTTAGAGATTACGACCGTAATCTCTCTTTAGGAGGGGTTTTTGATGTTTTAAGGTCCCTAAATTAACTAGGAATAAATAGAGGCTATTGTCCAAGGCTTTAGGAGTGATTAAAACACTCTTTGGCCTTTGTTTTGGAGTTCACAGTCCAAGAACTTCTTGGGCCGTGAACACCTAAACCTTGGTGTTCTTTGATGTTTTCTTGTCTTAAATACACCTACATACAAGCCTAAGCTCGTTACTTAACAAGTGGAAGGGACTAGGAATCATATAAGCCTTATATAAGAGTTTACTCCCCAAGATGTTCTTGGGCGGTAAACTCTCGAATCTTGCAGTTTTGCTATGTAATCTATGTTATTAAACACGTTATAAGCCATATAATACAACTAGAGAGAGGTACTCACGATTTGGGATCAAAAACCCGAAGATCCGTGAGAGACAAATGGCTTTTCTCTAGTTGAAAATGTAACTAATGAAATAATTTGGTTAAGAATCATATTTATAGTCCTGGGATTTTTGGTAGAAAATATTTTTATTCCCGCAATGAACTCTAATATAATAGAGTTTTGGAATAACAATGTTGCACAAAACCCTAGTGCATCCACTCTCCTGATATCTCCTTAAGTGTAAATCCCGAAATACTCAAACTTATACGGAAAAGTTTGAAAATTTACTGTGACTGTTATAACTTCTATTGACTTGATAAAGTTCGTACATAATGGAAATTTCGGGTTGTCACACATTGCGAACCATTTTTGCTTCTATATTGTTCAAATATGTCTAAACTACTTCCAATACATTCCAAACAACTTTCACTTGTCCTAGTTATGTACTAACATCTAAATAATTTTTTTAGTACATTCGATGTCAGTGAGTTTCATCCTCTAATCATGATCTACAAGCTCAACATGAAGGTGGAATTAACCACTTGGCGGAATGATGTCTCCTTTATGATCTAATGCTTGATTCTGAATTTAAAACTCATCCAAACCTTCCTAATTAAGAAAAATCTCGGATTTAGGAAATCCTTAAATCTTAACTCGAAATAGCGTAGAAGAATCACAAGTAATGTACCTTACAAAGCTTAAATGGATCGATTTAAGTTTTTTCTTTCCTCCTGATCAACACTTCAAACTTCTTCCTAATTATTCCCCACCCTCAAAATCACCAACTCTTTTTCCCTCCAAAGTCCAAACTCTATCAAATCGATTTGAGTTCAAATGAAAAGAGAGAAGAGTGTAAGTTTCATCTTTTGCATCTTTACATAATTGGTCCCTTAACTAGCCATTTTTCTAAATTAACCACTAGTTGGTTCTACTGAGGGGTGTAAACGATCCGAGTCGAGCCCGATCTTGGTCGGGCTCGATCCAGACTCGTTTAAGTTATGAGGGGATCGAGCTCAAGCTCGGCTTTCGAGCTTTATTGGATGAACAGCTTAAGCTTGTGAAGAATTATATAGGTTCGGCTCGAGCTCGAGATTGGCTCGTTTATTGTGTGATGAACCTAAATAAACTTAAGCTCGATTCAAGGCCGTTTATTCATACCCAAAATCCCTAATTCCCCAAATATATTTTTTTATTTTAATATATAAAAATAATAATAATGTATATTATATATAAACTCGTTTAGGCTTGCAAGTTCATTGATTGAAGCATGGCTTGAGCTCATTTAATAAATAAGTCTCATATTTAGGCTTGAGCTTGATTCGAGCTCGTTTAATTTGATCTCAAGTTGAGCATTTAACAGGTCGATTTCGAGTACCTCGATTTACTTGCACCCCAAGTTCTACTCCCCTTGGTCTGTTCCTTTATTTACCATTCTAACCCTGCCTAACATAGTTTCTAACAAAAATGGTCCAGGATGAGTTAGTTAACAAATGATCAGTTTTTGGCGCGAACGATGATGCCTGCTTACAATCTCTCAAAAGGTACCTTTTTTTCACAGGTATGGACAGACAACGATCCCGACTAAACTATACAAATGTTTTACCTATGCAATTCACCTTGTAAACGGCAGCATTATGCTGATTGCATATTCACTGGTGTAAATAGCAAGCGTGGATCTTGTGACAACTTCACATCGTGTTCAACGATGTCTATGCTTTGTAGACATCGATTTCTCAACCTGAAGCATCTGTATTTCTATCATCGGAAACGACACATCTTCGCATCAAAACCTAGAGAACCATTTCGAGTTCTCATTGTTTGTTGTTAACTTTCTAACTTCCTTCCGGCTGCTGTTCCCCAAGTGTTTGATAATATTCCTGAACCAGATTATGCGTTTTAGGTTTTAGCTCTTGTTTTTGTTCAATCGCGTTGTAGAGTTTGTGGTATATCCGACTATTCCGTGTCTGGATATGGAGAGTCCGGTGCCATATAGCAGAGGGTTGCAGAAACATTCGATCACGAAGCAAGCGCGAAGTGGATATGAACCATCTGATACAGAGACAGAATTGCATGAAGCTCCGTGGAGTCAATTCAATAAAAAGAGCTTAGAATTGGGATCTGGAGTACCAAAAATGAGTCCTGAAGAAACCAGAAATTTAAATCATCTGAGACTCAACAGAAGACACTCTTCAAAGTTCGATCCTGAAGGTCTTCCACCTCCGAGAAGACACAGCAAATCTCCATACAAAACACGACGAGATGACGCGAATCCCCGATCACCAACTCTCGGCCCACTTCCTCTTCCACCTGGGAGAAACATCAGCCCCTTTTCAAAATCTGAGCGTAGGAGACACGTTTCACCATTTCTACAATCGCATGATCCATTGGATGATAATGATGAAGCTAATGGCTCATATATCAAGCAAAAACTCAGACAATCAAATCATGATTACACTAGAACATTATCAGCACCTAGACTTCGACCAAAGGACAAAGACCAAAGGGTAAAAAGGAGAGACGAAAGGAGTAGAACACCTCCATTACGCAGAAGTATAACCCCAAGAAAAGACAAAGAAGTAAATTCCAAGAATTCTCATGCTCCTTCTGTAGGCGAGATCAATGAAATGGTTGCAAATGCGAAACTCGCGAAGAGTCCAATCCGACGTGGACCTGTTTTCGATAGCACAGACTCTCTTCCAGGTGGAGATATCTTCTTTTCTCGAGATTATCCACCAGTTTCAAAGCCGAAAGTCTTCATAGAAAAGAAATCCTACAAATCAAACACCATTCCTAACTACAATACTCCTGGTAATTACTCTTCTAGTCTTTTAACTCCAACAACTATCATCTCAACTTCTGCTGTAAGTAGACAAAGTAGCAACGTAAGCGATGCTAGTGGGAAGTCAACAGGGAGTTCATGGAAGTTCACTGCAAATAGGAGAAAAAACCAGACAGATGCATGGTTTTCTTGCATAGGGAAAGGATCATGTCGAAGTGGAACTAATAAAAAGTCTCCTGAAAGAGCTTTTGATGAAGCTTCTTTTATTGAAAAGGCTTTTGTTGTTGAAAGTCTTAGACAATTTTGGGCTGATAAACATCAACCTTCTTCATTGGATGGATTTGCTTGTCATAAACAAGAAGCCCTTCAACTTAAACAACTTGTAAGTGTCTTCAGTTTCTTAATCTTTGTTTTTTGCTTATATGAATTTGGTTATAAAGATTCTTATTATGTTGCAATTTAGGCATCACAAGAAATATTTCCACATATTCTTTTCAAGGGAGGTCAAGGTTCAGGGAGGAAAGCATTGACAATGGCCCTATTGCGTGAGATATATGGAGATGCTGCTCGAAATGTAATTTTAGTTTTAATAACTAAAACTATGTTTACCCTTTATAGTTTATATAAATTATACACCAATACTCAAATTTCTCATTTTTTTTACCTTTCTTTTGCAGATATCTCATGATTTAAGATACTTCCAGATTCAGGTATGAAAACAGGAAGTAAAATTATTCCACATTACAATCCACATGGTTATATTTTTTAGTTAATGACATAAATAGGTAACAAACTATTTTTTTTTTACAAAACACCATTGTTTTTTTTTTTAAAATACCATACATGGGTGACACTATTTGTTTTCATCCACAAATTACCATTAAAATAATGGTATTTCACTATTTTTGGACCAAACTCTTTTTTTTCTTTCGATTTTCACCTGCTTTATGATTTACCAGGTATAGCAGGTCATATTTCATATTTACACTTTTGACCCAGATTTTAAACTTTGTTACGAATTTGGTCCAAACTTATAAATTTTGTTATGGATATGGTCCAAACTTTAAATTCGAATTTTGGACCAAATTTATGTAGAATGTGTTAAAACAAAAAGTTTGGACCATATCCGTAACAAAATTTATAAGTTTGGACCAAATTCGTAACAAAGTTTAAAATCTGGGTCAAAAGTGTAAATATGAAATATGACAAGGCCAAAATCGAAAAAACATAGTTTGTTACTTTTTCATAACATTTTTTGGGTTTGTTAGCAACTTGAAGACAATTAGCAGGTATATCAGGTCATATTTCATATTTACACTTTTAACCCAAATTTTGAAATTTTGTTACAAATTTGGTCCAAACTTATAAATTTTGTTACGTGTATGTTCCAAACTTTAAAACAAAAAGTTTGGACCAAATGTATGTAGAATTTGTTAAATAAAAAAGTCTGGACCATATCGATAACAAAATTTAAACTTTTGACCAAAATCGTAAGAAAGTTTAAAATCTGGGTGAAAAGTGTAAATATGAAACATAACAATTTTATGTTTACAGGAAACTCGGTTGACTCAAGTAGCTGTTCCTGTAACTTCAAGTGTGCATCATGTAGAGCTTAATGTGTATTTGGAAGCTAATGCCAGATATGCCCTTATGGCTTCAGTTAAACAAATAACTAGCAATCATTCAGTTGCTCCTGAGATTAGTACAGTTAATTTGAAGCCAGATTTTACAGTTATGGTCCTTTATGATGTTGATAAAGCTGATGAAAGCATTCAGCACTTGATAAAGTGGATCATGGATTGCTATTCAGATGTTTGTAAACTTGTCCTTTGTTGTGAGGATGATCTTCATATTCTTGAACCTGTCAAAACTAGGTGCCACGTCATCAAACTTGATCCTCCAGTGACCCATGAAGTAAGTGCTAGTTAACATTTTTCTTTTTTTACTTAAACTTACTTTTTTTGGAATGTAAGGGTAAAACGGTCATTTAGACGGTTTATTCAGTCTAGAAAAGAAACAGAAACAGACCTTATGTATATATACAATACTTTATCTATAGACAAACACCATTAATGTGGCTGAATGGGTAATGATCTTTGTCTGGATAAAGTGTTGTGTATATAAAGTTTGTTTTTTTATATAGCTGAACGAGACTAAATGACCGTTTTACCCCTACATTGTAACAAACAAAATTCACAATATTGGTTAATTTTAACAGTTTTCATCACGTGAGAGGAGTTTGGACAGTGTTGTATACATAAAGTTTGTTTCTTTTATAGCTAAAAGAGACTAAATGACCATTTTACCCCTACATTATAACGAACAATATTTCACAATATTAGTTAATTTTAATAATATTCATCACATGAGAGGAGTTTGGACAGTGTTGTATATATAAAGTTTGTTTTTTTTATAGTTGAACGAGGCTAAATGACTATTTTACCTAGGGGTGTGCAAAAAACCGCACAAACCGCCCGCACCGCACCAAACCGCACCGCATAATGCGGTTTAGAATTTCGTGGTGCGCTTTGCGGTTCGTCATTTTATCAAACCGGACTATGCGGTGTGGTTTGCGGTTTGTATTTATAAAATCGCGGTTCAAACCGCACCGCACCGCATGTTATATATATATATATATATATATATATATATATATATATATATATATATATATATATATATCTTTACTTTGTTATAACTTCAAATCACGATTTAAAAACGATGTATTTAAATATATTTCTTACAATAATCAAATATCTATAACGTAACATTAAATCACTATTAGATCAAGATCCCATAGTTTACAAGAATATAGCAACTATAACGGCAATATATAGCAATAACAGCGACACCTACAAAACTATAGTAGCATGAATCACAATTTATTACAAACGATTTAACTTGAAAATTGTATTTGTTTTTATAAAATAAAAGCAATCAATTTTTTTTAACCGGGTCAGTTTTTTGGTTTTTTGATAGATTTAATGTTGAACAACTCATTAAACCGCACAAACCGCAACCAAACCGCATAAACCGCCAGCATCAAACCACACCGCATAACGCGGTTTTGAACATTTGTGGTGCGGTTTGCGGTTTCTAAAATATTCAAACCGCATATACGGTGCGGTTTGCGGTTTTGACTCTAAACCGCACCAAACCGCACCGCGCACACCCCTAATTTTACCCCTACATTCCAACAAACAATATTCAAAATATTAGTTAATTTTAACAGTATTCATCACATGAGAGGAGTTCAAACAATGTTATATACATAAAGTTTGCTTTTTTATAGCTGAACGAGACTAAATGACCATTTTACCCCTACATTGTAACAAACAATATTCACAATATTAGTTAATTTCAACAATATTCATCACATGAGAGGAGTGTTGACAGTGTTGTATACATAAAGTTTGTTTCTTTATATAGCTAAACGAGACTAAATGACCATTTTACCCCTACATTCCAACAAACAATATTCACAATATCAGTTAATACATTTGGTGAATAACTTTTTTATTTATAAATGAAATTTTCAGATCATGGAAGTTCTTATTCAAATAGCAAGGAAAGAAAACTTTGATTTACCAATGAAATTTGCTGCAAAAATTGCTAATAAATCCAAACAGAATTTAAGGAAAGCAATCATGGCTCTTGAAGCATGCAAGTCTCACAAGTAAGAAAAAAATTTATTTATTATCTTGATAATAATAATAATAATAACATTCTTACTTCTTATTACTCTAACACTCAAGAATTTATGCAGCTATCCTTTTGTAGAAGATCAACCAATTGCAATAGGATGGGAAAATGTCCTAATTGACCTTGCTGCTGAGATCCTAGCTGATCCATCATCTAAAAGGCAAGTTTATAAATTACAACATTTTTTTATGTAAAATTTTAATTACAAATATTAATTTTTTTTTAACAGGCTATTTCTCATACGTGGAAAGCTACAAAAACTTCTGGTGGAGTTTGTTCACCCAAAATTGATTCTTTTGGTAAATTTATATATGACTTTTTAGTAAAAGAAATTTAATTATATTAAAATCCACGTCATTATTAAAATTTATATAAATTAAAAAATTTCCATGTGTACAGAAACTGATTGAACAGTTCCTCAAGGGTGTAGAAGCTACCATCAAAAGGGAACTATATTATTGGCATGGTTATTATGTAAATTCCACGTCATTCTACAATAAATATATTTTTTTTTCTTAATTTTTATGAAATATATGTGACTTAAATTTAACGCTAACTTTCAGGATAAGAGACTCCCAGTTGGAACCAGTGCCTTACTAAAATTAGAAGGTAATAAATATAATCAGTTTTTTTTTATATGATCTATTTATGATAAATAAATGTATCAAAAGGAAAAATAAACGGGTAAATTTGTAAATAGTGAGTATTTAATATAAAGGTTTTTTTTTTTTTTATTAAGTGAAAAAACATCTATATATAGCTTACTGAAACATCTTACCTATTTGCCTTTATTTTTTTTTTATTCCTTTCAACACATTGCATGTTAATATTATTGCATATTGTTAAAATTAATGAATATTGTGAAAATTGATTTTGAGATGTAAGGGTAAAATGGTCATTTAATCTCATTCAGACGATTTATTCGGTTTATTATAGACCTTATGAATACGACATTTCAACACTTTATCCAAAAAACAAAACAAAACAAACCTTATCTATTCAACAAACACATACAATATATATATATATATATATATATATATATATATATATATATATATATATATATATATATATATATATATATATATATAAATTCTTAGTAGAGAAAGTCAAGAAAAATTTACCTTTATTTATTTTTTCCTTATTTTTAAACATTATTTATCCACTTCAACAAATTTTTTATTGGTCATCCTAACAGAGTTTGTTGCCAAATTCATGAGTATACACCGCAAGAATTTACTTAATCGTCAGTGACTGACTGAAGTTTTGCGAATGCGTATTCAGACACATCGGAAAGAAAAGATAATGCGGAATCCCAAGATTGCAATATTTACTTTTTGGGGGAATTGTTTGGTGTGAAATTACATATTTACCCATTATAATCGTTATGAATATAGATTTGGTTGTGGGTGTTTTTTATGAATATTTTGTATCAAATGGTGAATTATGTTGAACTTAAGTATGTATATTTTAGTTAATAGTTGTTTGAGTTAAGTCACTCAAAAAGAGGTATGAATTTTGAAAATAAATTGATTTGTTGTAATAGTCATTAAACAGACATATCCATGGATAAAGCCGTTATCACATCCATGATTGTAGAGAATTTTGAAAATAAAATGATTGTTGTATATTTATTCATTGTAATGTAATTTTTGGTTGTATAAAAAACTTCATTAGTTGTCTGGCCATTTTTGGAACCGTGTTGCAAAACATTTTACAACACAATGGGTCATCATGCCTATTGTACACACTACTCTAACTCAAACTCAAAATGGAGGGACGTAAATCGAAAGGTTGCAAGGTTCACTTACATCCCTCCGTTTTACAAGACATCGTACGGACATGAGACATAGATTATAATCAATCTCATTGTTTAAGATTTTGTTTCCCGGTTTCTGATTTGTGATGACGACATAAGACTTTTAATCGAATGTATCAATTTAGTCTTGGCTAGGCCTAACACTTGTAAGTCAACACCAAATCACCACTGAGGGGCCTAAAGATATCGCGTTTTCCGTTAGGGAAAAAGGAACGAATAAACTTTGATTTATATGCTTGCATTATTTACTCATCAAATCATGCACAACAATACATTTTATAACATCAATTTACTGATGCGTTTACGTATTATCAATGCACAATTGACTTGTAAACCACAACTCATATATCTTCGTTTCAAGGATATAAGATATTATCATCTCAGAATTACTCGTAATAAAATACATGAAGTAATTCTCTGAGCGTGGGTTTATCCAATACTCAAAGTCCCCATTTTCAAAGTACTCATGAATATTGTAGCAACCATGGTAATGTCTAATCTCCATAGACAATCTGCAATTCAATTCCTGACAGTTTTCATTCACTACTTACTTCCTAAAGTATGAGCGACTGTGGAGTTTCGAATAATCAAATTATTCAAGAAGTAAAACATGCAAAGTGACACACAATAACAACCTAATTAACTATGGTCTCAAAACTATTGAATATAAATAAAACTCTTATTATTTAATCACCATATTAATTAAGACTTTATCATTGTATAATGTTTCGAGTAATCAACTAACCACCTGAATTAAACATCAGTCATGCCATGTTATGAACATACATACTATGTTTCTATATGGTCCTTCCTTTGTGAATAGATCGATCGACACTATTTCAATTATGCTCATTTTTCAATTTCAAATTCTTGTCACTACTAAAACGTGTTAGAATTCTAAGCTTACATACATTGTCCTTTAGTGATTTCGAGGCTTTAAAGTCATAGAGACTTAGCCAATGACATTACAAAATGTTCCATTGGAACTTTGTTACTACAAACAATTCCATGGAAATGAAGTCTTAAATTCAAGCTACACTTCTTTAACACCTTTCTTGCATTAAAGTTTCCAACTCAAATGTAGATTCTAATGATCAACTCTCATTATGGAAACATTTCCACATTCCTATATGACCATCAATTTTGACCAAGAATCATCCTAATCTAAAACATATCACTATGGTCCTTCCAAACAATACCATACTTCCAACCGTCTCTTAGAATGTTTTTTGACAGTTGTTTAACAACTTTGGTCACACAAAGTTCTAGTCCTTTTCCCTCTCAATGTCCAAAGCATTTGGAAAAATCGTAACAAGTGAATATTATAACATATGTAATCGATCCTATACCCGAAGCATATGAGACTCGATTCATTATGTCTTACATAAGGACCCGATATATGTTCTGTCTCTTGATATAATATTTCCATATATTGAATTTCCTATGTTGAATCATTTCAACATGATATTCATATATGTTTATGACTAAGTTCTATTAAACTATGCAATCTAAACTTTTAGATTTGAAACAAAGTATGAATGCCCTCTCCCTTAAGTCTATCATAGAGAAACAATTCCCAAACTTTGCAATTTGCAAAATGAAAAACTTTGTTTCTTATGAACAGTATTGCCAACTTGCAATACTATCATAACAATTATGCTTCCACTAGCATAACAATTATGCTCCCACTAGTTTTGACATGTACCCATAAATTAACTGGACTGCTAGAAACCAATACTCTTGATTTTCTTACTAAAGTGTAGATTTCTGATACGTGATAAAAGAGGGGCACGACTCGATTGCTTCGCATCAACGGGGGACTTGTGTACTTGATAACTTTTAATGATACTCTGATAAATGCACTTGTGATTTCAATAAATACTTAAAGTTTTAATTGAAAATTTTAGGTTGAATTTCGGGGTGTTACAACAACCTTTCGGTTGGAATGCCCCGACCTACAACATTTCAGTTGGATTGCCAATACATAATGGGTCCACAACCTCCTGATTGGATTACCCCCGACCAACAACCTTCTGGTTGGAATTCCCCTGCCCATAACCTTTCATTTAGAATGCCCCACAGTCTCAACCCCACGATATCATGTCAACATATACATAACAATTAACATATATCTAGCTACAGATAAATATATAACTAGCCAGCAAACAAACAAGCAGATCTATAGATCACTACCGCATAGCAACAACCTATTTACTAGGATACAGACCTAACAAATAACTATAGTATAACGACATCCTATATAATAGGATCCATAATCTAGTGGGCCAACATTGGTGCCTTCGACCTATGAGTACATTGAAGAAAACTCGCATCTCAGTCTGAAGAGATAGTTGATCAACACGTTGCTCTAAATATGAACTCTACCAATCACCTTTACATGAGCAAAACTCAGTCCACAGATCAAATACCCAAAATACCCTTATGTCAAACTTAGTCAAAGTCAACATAGCTAGTCGCCACGTTGTGGCCTCATTGGCCGCACTGTGGCTATAAACCGATAAAATAGGCGGGTCTTGACCAAGTCACCACGCCGTGATAACTTTAACCACACCGTGGTGATGCGTCCGGAAAACTTAAACCATTATGTTGTTTCCTTCATCTATATAAGCTCCTAAAGCTCAGATCTAGTCCTTCCCATGGTCTTTATCCCTCAAAACCCTCCATAAACCAAAGTCCCAACCCCAACCTCTAATGGTAACTTAAGGCATCAAGACTCTTATTAAGCGCCCAATATTTAGAGTTGAACCTCCAAATTTTCCAGAAGGATTTCATGCCCCTAAGGGACCTTAAAAATTGTAGCTTTATGAACCTGCATGCCCAATGAATGCCTTTTCCATTTTTGGTCAAACATAGGGTTTTATGACCAAAACTTCCATGCATGACCTCAAAACTCGATTATAATTTAGATCCAATACACTAAATGCTCTACTTGATCTGGAGATTCATAAATTTGCAAAATTTATGAGATCCCATTACTTAAATCCATCAAAACATGGAAAAACGGGATAAAATCCAAAGATCTAGCAACATGGTAAGAAAAAGGTTGAATCTTGGACACTCACCAAGGTCTATAGGATATGCTAGCCGGAGAAATGATGTTTTCCAAGCAACCATCACACCAAGAGCTTCCTTCTTCATCAAAAATCACCAAAAAGCATCAAGAATGAGCTCACAACTTCAATGGAGGCTAGGGCTAGGGTTTATGAGGTTAGGAGGAAGATGAAGGCTGAAACCCTAGCTTTAATGTTCTTTATATAGGGTCCAAAGCCCAAAATTAGGGTTTTCACTAAAACACCTTCCACGTCGTGGTGCCCAAGACCACATGGTGGTGGGTTATTTTAAGTCTCACGATCCAAAACACTCCGCCACGTCGTGGTGATGCTCCACCACACTGTGGCCACCACAATTATGATTTATACATAAAAGTTGATTCATACCTGGACCGGATGTTACATGAAAACTTATAATACAATAAGGGCCCTTTTTTTGGCTCATCCTGGGCCTTTGAGAATATTTAATTCCTCAAAACCGGCCCTACATGTTAAGGTGCAAATGAAGGATTTATAAAAAAAGTTTGTTTTATAAAAAAAAACAGTTTGATACGGTATGTTTAAGAGCATGTAATTCAGTTAATACATATCCAAATAAGGTGCTTTTAGAGTCTAGAATTAATCCAAAACATTGAAATACATTCTAAAAAAATCAGGCCGAATCGACTTATAACAAAACGGGTATGACAATTTAAGGACTTATAACGAAACATGTATGACAATTTAAAATGAAGTAAAATCCAACACATTGTAGAAACAACAACAAAAAATCAACTTTGATACTCCATATTTACGGACTATAAATGAGTCAATACATATGCAAATAAGGTATTTCTGGATTCTAGAAAAAAACAGACATACTTATAACAAAGTGATTATGATAGTTTAAAGTGAAGCAAAAAATACTTCACAATGTAGATTGATTCAAGCCCATTCTAATTTCGGTTCTAGGTCTTAGGCCCAATTAACCCAAAACCCGAAGGACCCCTACACAATACTTGATTTTAGGCTAATAACGAACCCGATAACTAGACCGATTTTGAGTAATATGGTTCCAACCAGTTCCGGTTTGGTTCCGATTCCAGAACAGGTTTCCGGTTTCAAAGCACATCCCTACCATAGGGGCTGGCGTTGTAATGAAAATAATAATTGGACCAACATAGAGTATTATGCCAAACAACAGGGACCACTAATGTAACTTTGTCTATATATAATTGTTACTTAACCATTACCATTTTGTATGGTGCATGGAAATTTTAAGGATTTTGTGGTGGTAATTGGTGCAGAGAGCGATGGTTATTCGCAACGAGAGAAAACTTTAAGCGGTTGTTTTCACCACAAGCCATGGAGAGGAGGGAGGAGTCTTGTTCCAAACTTTCTCATGGGATGATCTTCTTCTTCTTCTTCGTTTCTCGTTTCCCTCTCTGATTCCTTTCCTCCAACTCCACCACCGTTAAAGGTAAATTTCTTTTGTCGATCGGAAATTCTGCTTGCATCTACATTCCATGAATACTTTTTCTTGCTCGTGCTTTTTGGAATTCGATGCTTAATTCGGTTAGCTTGGGTTGTTTCACATTCGACATTTTGTTATTACGATTCCATTTTAAGTTAATTTGTTCAATATAATGTTACGACGTTTCACATTTGAATTTGCGTGTTAATTCGTTTCGAGTGCTCTAGGGTTTTAATTTGTAGTATGCACAAACCAATTGTTTGATTCGACATTCATACATTCTCAATGCATAATATGCATCCAAATTTAGGGTAAACTTTATTGATTTCAGATCGTTTGAAAGAATAAACATGTTTTTAACTTTCAATGTTCGAAACTGTTTTAAAAACGTAATTGCGAAATTACGCACTTGTTTCTTATTATAATCTGTTTTTTGATGTTGTTGTTCCAAAAAATTCTGAAAACAATACAGATCTTCATGGTGCAATGCCTACATTTACAACAGTGGCTTTAGATAGTTTAATAGAACCAAAAGCTTCTAAGCTATCATCAACAAGGAAGACAAAACCTGAACCAAAACTGGAGAGAAGAAATAGCAGCTCCACTCTTACAAAACAAGCCAGTGGAATCCATGGTGCTGATGGAAAATCAGAATTGGGAAACACCACAATCACAATGGAAAGAAAGCATCATTGGAATCAAATCTCACCTGCTCTTTATGCTACCCCTGAACCAACACCACTTCCAGATTCTCAACTATCATTTCCTTCATCACCTTATGTTGTTGACCATAAGAGACGTGGACCTAGACTTTCCAAGACTTATTCAGCTGTTCTTCATCGCGATGAAAAAAAGACAGTTGAAATTGGGAAAAGTTTAGAAGCAGAAGATGTTGGATCTAGCAAGGTTTTTGACACCAAAGATACTGTTTCTAGTAATGCTGATGTTCCCCATGTGAAGTTTCTGAATAATGGAGATCTTGGATCAAAAAAGGTTCTGAATGTCATAAATACTGTTTCTGGTGATGTTGATGATACGCGTGTCAAGTTTCATCATAATGCAGATGGACGTGAGAGTTCAAGAAAGCATGATGCATTGGAAAGAGAAGGTGAAGTTGATGACTTTTTTGACCCTAATGATACAATGAGTGGAAGTGATGGGGAAACTAATCATGTAGTAGAGAGGCCTTTAAATGTCAACACTCCATTTGCAGAGTTTTATGATGCTTGGGAAGGTAATCTGATTTCATTCCTATCTGTTTTTGGTCTTTCTAACTCACACTATTACTAAATGAAAGTTAAATTTTTCGATACCCAACGCCACCCTTCAAGAATATTTTTTCATAATGACTATTCTACCCCTTCTTTATCCAGTTATAAGAAAACAATGAAAGCACAAGATGTAATAGAAAGAAATACAAGTAGGATGCTACAATACACAAACAATATTTTTTCAAAATGACTATTCTACCGCTCCTTTAATATCGAAAGCAAAAGATATAATAGAAAGAAATAAAAGTAGGATGCTACAATACACAAACAATATTTTTTCAAAATGACTATTCTACCCCTCCTTTAATATCGAAAGCAAAAGATATAATAGAAAGAAATAAAAGTAGGATGCTACAATACATAAACAATATTTTTTTTTTCAAAATGACTATTCTACCCCTCCTTTAATATCGAAAGCAAAAGATATAATAGAATACACAAACAATATTTTTTCAAAATGACTATTCTACCCCTCCTTTAATATCGAAAGCAAAAGATATAATAGAAAGAAATAAAAGTAGGAAGCTACATACAATACACAAACAAACGAAAGACTATTGCTATTTCTTTCATTTCAAGCATATTACAATACTAAGGAATTGGTGATTCCGATGTGTTATCACCACAGAACTGGCAACAGAAACCGGAATCCAGCATAAGGCAACTGACATTGAGGGGGAATTACGTGAGATGCGATCAGGATTTCTGTATGAGAGGGAGAAAAGAAGGCAAGCTGAAAATCGTCTGAATGATATGAAAAGTCAATGGGGAAGAATTCGTGAAAAATTAGCCATTGTTGGATTGAATCTTCCTTTAGATCCTAGTGTAGTGGAGGATGATCAAACCAAAGATCCTGGAGAAGAGATATGTCGCCAGGTTGATGTGTTAAGGTTTGTTTCCAATTCCATTGGGAAGGGAATTGCAAGGGCGGAAATGGAATCACAATTCCAGTCTAAGAACTTTGAGATTGCTAGGTTGTTGGATCGAGTGCATTACTATGAGGCTGTTAATCATGAAATGTCTCAGAGGAATCAAGAAAGTGTTGGTGAGTTTTATACTTTGACATTTCGTTGACTTTTTTTTATTAAGCCCATTAAGTGAAAGAGAAACAACACTATGGAATTGGGGAATGATTCGTTACATTGAAATGAAAAAAGAAAAAAAAAATTGTTTTGACTGATGGAATGGAATGGACGATTCAGGAATGTGATTCCATCCATTTTGATAATGATTTTCATTCCATCATGAAATTGCAATTGAACCCATTTTTTATTGAACAGTTGTTAATGAAACAAATATTTTTAAAAAAGTTCATTTCGTTGAACTAAATTACATTTCTGTTTTTTTAGAAGGGTTAATCTCATAAAAGACCTTATATTTTGTGTTTTTTTTTTTTTTTTTTATTAAACTTAACTTTGTTTTTTTCCTGATAAAGACCTTGTACATTTTTCATTGTTTTAGCCCGTTTAGTCATTTTTTGCCGAAAAAACTTGTAACATGTGAGGGTTTTTTCGGAAAAAAGTAAAATAGTTGAGGGTTTTTTCAGAAAAAATGAAAAAAGTACAAGGTCTTTATCAGAAAAAAAATAAAGTTAAGTTTAATCAAAAAAATAAAAAAAAAACACAAAATATAAGGTCTTTTATGAGATTAAACCTTTTCAGAACCAATTATAAAATAATATTTTTTTATTATAACTTATTTAGATGTTAATAATAATGAGCTTTTATTACGTACAATGTATTATTTACTTAAATCCCTAGAATAAAATTAAAATTATATCGTATCTACACATGATGTAAAAGAAATCATGTGAAAATTCATTTCCATTCGTAGAGACCACCCAAACATGATCATGACTCATTCCATTAACATATATATATATATATATATATATATATATATATATATATATATATATATATATATATATATATAGTGATAGTGATTAATTGATTAATAACTGGTTTAAATGCACATATTTTTGTTAAAGTGTCAACTATTACTTTTAGAATATTTATTTATTTATTTATTTTTATAGAAACCATGCGACGACTTAGGCAAAAGAGGAAGAAAAGACAAAGGTGGATTTGGGGTTCAATTGGTGTTGCAATAACACTTGGAAGTACCGCCTTAGCTTGGTCTTACCTCCCAACTGCAAAACCATCATCATCTGAATCCAACCGTTCCACTCAGTGATCACTACCCCCACCCACCCACCACCACTGGGTATGTCTCAATACCTCAATAAGAAAACAATTGAATCTCAAATCAAAACTATGATGTTAAAAACACACATAGTTAAATGAAAGATAACCAAATATGTTTAAATGCAAGAAATAACAATGTACTTTAAGAGCACAATATTTTGTAAAGAAAAAAATGGAAGAGTAAATTACACGAATGGTCCCTATGGTTTGAGGTAATTTGCATGTTTGGTCCCTAACTTTTTTTTTAACCCAGAAAGTCCCTACTGTTTGTTTTTGTTCGTGTTTGGTCTCTGTCTTACCTAAAATGACTATTTTGCCCTTGATTTTTTATTTATTTAAATAAATATCAAGGGCAAAATAGTATTTTTAGGTAAGACAGGGACCAAGCGCTTAATAAAAACAAACTGTAGGGACCTTCCGAGTTAAAAAATAAGTTAGGGACCAAACATGCAAATTACCCCAAACCATAAGGACCATTCGTGTAATTTACTCCAAATGGAATTATAATGAGAGTATTATGCTATAAATTATGATACACAGATAAATAAAAACATGTTGCTATTTCTTGCAGGTTAGTTCCGATTGTAAGTTGAGCTTTTTGAGAAGGTTGTATATAATACATATTTTTCGGCGGTAATAAAACATTTTTGGCAGTAATAAAAAACATGGTATTCATAGTTTACATCATACATGTAAACAAAAGTTACCATTGTGAGAATTTGTGGGGTGGAGAAAGAGATCATTTCAAGAAGTTGTGTCAAGACTCCTAGGTGTAATTATTTTTTTTGAATTTCTTTTTATTTTTTATTTGTTAATTAAAGTTTATGTTTGCCAAATTTAAGAAAAAAAGATCTTAAATTTGTGTTTGGCTATCGTTTCTTTTTTTTTTCTTTTATCTGTCAAACATAATAATTAAATTAAGGATATGTTTCACGGATTATCTGAAAAGCTAGTTAATAGCTAAAAACTTGATGCTAGATAAAAAAAAAATGTCTGATAACACTAACTGATAAGCAAATTGAAATATGTAAAATGACATAAAATAGCTATAGAAGATTGATTTTTTTAAAAAGAAATAATTAATAAAGCATATATTTGGGAGAATTTTAAAAAATCTCAATAAGCTCTTTCAAAGGCAATTTAAAAACTACTTTTTGATTAATCAAACATTGCAACATAAAAAAATTCGAAAAATAAATTTTTTTGTAAGCAATATTTTAAAATTGGGTTTTTTAGTTAACTCGGTATGATGTTAGTTCAAACCGATTTTTAGAATTTTCTTGTATTTTATAAATATGTTCATACATATAAATTATATATAATATATAATTACCACATGTATCAAGGTCTTTTATGTGCTTGTAAAAAAAGTTATAATAATAGGGAACGTGGTGATCTACTAACTAAATGCCTAAGTGAAGTATGAATAAATTATATTCAGTTAAAATATGTATAAAAGTCTATTTAGATGAAAAGCCTAATGGGATTTGCTCTCTATGTGTGTGCGAAAATGATTTCCTTCTTTCCATTATTTAACTACAAAAATCTTTATTGTTAACAAACAACACTTGCTTGTGTATGGAGAAGAATAGCTTTTAGGAAGGAAAGAATTATTAAGTTACCGTGACAACATAACTGATTATAATTGACATTGAATAAAATTAATTGTTATAGTCATAACTTTGTATATAGGTCAGTTTTAAAATTTAAATTTAAAAGAAGAAAGAAAAAGTACAAGTGAATATGGTCCGGTTTGATGGTTTTTGAATTTAGGAAATCATTTATCTTTGTTATTTATTTATTTATTTATTTTTGTTAATAAATAATTTGCGTTTTGTTATTTTAATAACCATGTTGATTACATCTAACAAAAAGAAGTAATGTACTAAATATAATATAACATGACGTAAAATACCGATTTATAAATTCACTTCATTTGATTTCTTAGGTTTTCTATGAAAAAAAAATGAAAAAGGCAACCTAAACATAAAAATTTGGCCTTTTATAAATCAAAAATCAAACCGGGTTTTTCAGAATAATTTGTTATTTTGTTTTCTTTTTATTTGTTTTTGCACACTCCTAAAAAGAAAGCGAAAAGGATCAAAGTTGCCGAGTGTCAAAGCATATATATATATATATATATATATATATATATATATATATATATATATATATATATATATATATATATATATATATATATATATATATATATATATATATATTCTAATTTAACGACATTGATATTTTAATTTGGAAAATTGAACTTTGAAATAGAAGATACAAATGAAGTTTGGAATTTTGCAGTATAAATAATATTTCTTTGGTTGAAAATAAGAGTATACTTCGCAGGTTGAATGGCTATGGATCCTCTTCACCACCATTAACTTAATAAAAATATTCTTTTTACCTTTATCACAATCATTTTGTTTTTTAATTGTCATTTTCCTTGCTTTCCATTTGTTAAATAAGAAAAAAAAAATATCCATATAATTTTTTTGATTTTTTATACACTCTTTGGGCCATTGGTCAAGGTGCGGAAAATATGGACTTAATGGAGCCCGTATTTAGTTACAATATAATAATATATCTTTTATTTGCTTTTTTCCACTTTTCTTCTTTATTTTTTCAAAGGATAAAAGGGACGGTTGCATATATTGATTTTTTTTTTTTAAATGCTTGAAAATAAATAATGTTGTACGAAATTGCTTCATCTTAAAAAAAAAATTCTGTAATATGCATGTCAAAATTCGTCCATCTAAAATGATAGAACAAAGCCTCTATGGAAAATAATACATGTTTATTATCATATGTTTGTGTCTAAGTCTTCTATGCCCAATGCAATATTCGCAAGGACAAAGATCCGAATCATGAGAAACAAGGAACCTCAGCGATTAAGGTAGTGTTGCATCTTCATCATAAAATTATCTAAACCACAATGTTTGCAACGAAAATCAAAAGCATAAACTAATAAAGATATTATAAATCGTTGTATTTATTTGGGTTTTATTTTTATAGTTGTATTGGCCAAAACAGTTGTATATTATTGTTTTTAATAAAAATGTTTTGTTTATTATTTATCCCTGGGTATAAGAAAATAATACTATGCATATGTGTAGCTCGGAAATATAAGTATATACATATGAAAATAAATGAATTTATTTGTATTTCTTTTAAGTACGCATCAAAAATGTTAGAGGAGTGTATATTCTACGTCTCGTAACAAAAGAAAAGAAGAGAAGAGAAAAGAAAGTTATGAGAGAAAAAAAGAGAAAGGAAAGGAAAACAAAAATTTCTTTTATGTTTAGAGTTTGAGAGAGTTTAGAGTTTGAGAGAAGTGGAAGCAAAATGAATCATTTTGTTCTTTCTTTCAAAATCCTCCCAAATTGAAAGGAAAGTCAGGAGGGAAAGTAATCCTCCCATTTCCCTCCACTTCCTTTCATTTCCCTTCTTTAATGAAACTTAGGAACACCAGTTCTTTTATTTTCTTTTCGTTTCTACCTTTTTTTTTTTTTTTCTTTTCACTTTTTAAGTTGAACTCGGGAACTGGGTGCTAGTGTTTTTACAAATAAATCACAATATAATCGTATAATGTTAGAATTAAATGGAATTTTATTAAATACATTTTATATTATTACCATAAAATATACTATAATCATCATTTAGTATTTAATACAATATGAAGTTACTCTTATAATTATGGAAGGTAGTTAGTCTCATTAGAATCAATGTCGTCCCCTTTTATGCTTAATCTATAATTGGTACAAATGGTTTTAGAGTTCTCACAATTGTTTGATCATGATTTATATTCCTACATAATAAACAACAAAAACATAAAATTAAAAATATCATGGTTGAACCATGGATCCTTGTTCATTATTTAAAAACAACAAATAATATATAATAGGGTTTAATAAGAATACAATTATGATGTTAATAAGTTCAAGAACTCAAAGTATTGTTCTTCTAATGGAATTTCACACCTTGGCTTCAAGCAAGCAAGTTCCTTCTTGGTGATGATTGAAGTGGAGAAAGGAGATGGAGTGAGAGGCTTTTACGGTTTAGCTAAAGGAGCATCCCTTGGTCTCGCATTCCTTATATAAGGAGGGAAAATCCTAGGAGCCTTTCTTAGCCTTTAGGTTTGATCAAATAATGGTAACATTACAATAATATAAACTTCAGACTATTATTGCATAAATGGACCTCTTAATTGATTTATATTTATTACGAAAATGACCCTCTTGCTTTTCTGGACGAGCGAAGTGTGTAACCCAAATTGGCATATGTAATTAGTAATTGTGTCATGAACTTGTGCTAATGAGCATATCTCCAATAGAATCATACTTGTGCACGTCACAACAATTATAAATAACTAACAAAATTACAAAGGGTATATCTTCCATGACAAGTACCGAGACCTTTAACCTTAAGGTTCGAACCAGTCCTAGGTAAGTGATCAAATATTATTATGTTCTTGATGTTCTTGATATCTAGATAAATGTGAGACATGGAAATCTTGTCAAGCTTAGAAGTTCATGATTTTGTTTCTCAATAGAGATTTACAGTGATCCAAACGATAAACTACATAACTGAATTATTCTCAATTCAATCTGAGTATAATTATATATTTCTTGTCAGTGTTGAATCATTGAGGGGCACATGGATACCACTTCTACAAAATGTCACAAGGAACAAATGAACTTTGATTATACATAAATGTACGCATTTGTTCTGTCATACCTAAGTGTATCTCGTATTGCTGCCAATTACAAATAATATGTAAGGACGTCAAGGCATAATAGACTATGCATAAATCCTATGTATCTCTATTTCAAGGACATAAGATATTACCATCTTAACATTACATGCAAGAATATTTTAAAAGTAATTCCCTAAGTGTGGGTTACTCGTATACTTAGGGATGGCTCAACCAATTTGGTGGCTCTAAGCGGATCAAAAATTTGGGTCCCTTTGGTATTTATTATACTTAATGTTACAAGCCCTCCTCTTTTATTCGGTCTTGAGACCGATAATAATAAACTAAAAAAAGTTTATAAATGGCGGAGTTATAAATTTTTATTATTATTATGTATATGTTTTTTTGTGAATATATTTAAGACATAAAGTTAACTTTTCTAACATTTTTAGATACTTTATGCATGATCTCATATTTCCCAGCTAACAAACATCATATTGTTCGTTATACAAGTGTTAGGATACTTTCTATCCCGTATGCCTGAATTCAGACCCCCTCATCATCAAAACATACCGTGACATAGGCCAAGTGGCATTTGGGAAAAATGGAGGGGGATTATTTCAACCTTCATGTACCTCAAACTTTTTTTTGGTGGCAGTTAAGTTTTTAATTATGAAAGGTGACAATTTACACATTTCCAAAGGAAAGTTTTGATATTTTTGGAATGAAAATTGGATGGAAAAGGGTTTGTTTTGGTGATTGCTCTTGTGGTATTGCCTACAACCAGGTTAGGAAAATTAGGGGGTGTTCGCATATGTTTTTGCTGGTGGGGTAATTGCATCAGTGATTTTGGTGTTGGCTATATTATGGGTTGGTGCTTTTGATGGAATTGGATTCCATGAGAGAGGGGAACTCTGGAACTAGAATGGGTTGCGAACTGCCAAAAGCTTGTTTACTTTTTGTTATTATGGTCATGTTGTTTTTCCAACACTATGAAATTCCATGAAGGATAAGTCCCAGTTTCCCAAGGTTAGTATTTGGTTTTATATTGCAATTTAACCATCATTCATACCAAAGTACATTAAAGACACTATACTTTACAACAAAACAAGCATGTTTTGAGAAATAGTGACAATGGAAAGGTAGAAATTAAGTCTTTAATTATAAGGTGCTTCTATATCAAAACAGATTTCCACATCAAACAGATTTAACTTCATCAAAATAACTAAATTTATCATAG